ACCAGCACTGCAAAAACTAGGTGTGAAGCCAGCCTGGGCTACAATGAGAACCTGTCCTGTCAAAAAGATAAATTTGTCTCTGGGTGGTGGTGGGACATGCCTTTAATTCCAGCACTTTGGAGGCAGAGGCAGACCAATCTCTGTTTTTTTTTTTTTTAAAGGCTGTCCTGGAACTCACTTTGTAGCTCAGGCTGGCCTTAAACTCAGAGAGATCCACCTGCCTCTGCCTCCTGAGTACTGGGATTAAAGACTGGTGCCACCAAGCTCAACTGTTTCGTTTTAGGATTTATTTTTATTTTATGTGTATATGTTTATGGGTGTTTTGCCTCCATGTATGTCTGTATACCACATACATGCAGTGCCCAGGGATTCCAGAAGAGGGCATTAGTTTTGTTTTGTTTTTTAAGATTTACTTATTTATTATGTATACAATGTTCTGCCTGTGTATATGCCTGCAGGCCAGAAGAGGGTACCAGATCTTATTACAGATGGTTGTGAACCATCACTTGGTTGCTGGGAATTGAACTCAGGACCTTTGGATAAGCAGGCAGTGCTCTTAACCACTGAGCCATCTCCAGCCCTGCATTAGATTTTTTTTTAATTTATTATTTTTTTTTTCATGGTGGTGGTGGTAGTTTATCAAGACAGCTCTGACTGTCTTGGAACTCGATTTGTAGACAAGGCTAGCCTTGAACTCACAGAAATTTGCCTGCTTCTGCCTCCTGAGTTTTGAGATTAAAGGTGTGCGCCACCACCACCCAGCAGCAGGCATTAATTCTTTAGAACTGAAGTTGCAGGTGGTTAACAGCCACCATGTGAGTGCTGGAAACCAAACTCAGGTCCTCTCCAGAGCAACAACACATGGGCTTAGCCACTAAGACATCCTTTCAGCTCCTACGTTTTTTATTTTTATTTTTTTAAGGTTGAAGATGTTGAGACGGTCTCCTACAGTCCCAGCTTTTCTCCATCTTGCTAAGTAGCCAAGGCTGAGCTTGAATTCCTGAGTCTCCTTTCATCTGCCTGCTAAGTGCTGGGATTACAGAATGCCTGGCCAGTCTTGTGTTCTTTTTTTTTTTAATATTTATTTATTTATTTATTTATTATGTATACAATGTTCTGTCTGTGTGTATGCCTGCAGGCCAGAAGAGGGCACCAGACCTCATTACAGATGGTTGTGAGCCACCATGTGGTTGCCGGGAATTGAACTTAGGACCTTTGGAAGAACAGGCAATGCTCTTAACCACTGAGCCATCTCTCCAGCCCCCAGTCTTGTGTTCTTTGTTTATTTGAATTATATATATGTATGTATGTGTGCCTGTTTGAGTTTGTGTGCACTATATGGTTTTAGGTGTCTGAGGAGGCCAGAAGGAAGTTGTGCAGTACAGGTTGTTGTGAGCTGTTTAGTGTGGGTACTGGGACTGTATTTAGGTCCTCTGCAAGAGCAATAAGTACTTTTAACTGCTGAGCATCTCTCCAATGCTCATCTTAGAGTGTTCTGCCTGCATATATGCCTTCAGGCCAGAAGAGGGCACCAGATCTCATCACAGATGGTTGTGAGCCACTGTGTGGTTGCTGGGAATTGAACCTGGATCCTCTGGGAGAGCAGCCAGTGGTCTTAACCTCTGAGCCATCTCTCTAGCCCTCATCTTGTGTCTTAAGGGACTCTGGGAAAGTGTTTGGAGCTAGAAAATGACCCGGAAGGGGTATTGGAAAGGAGGTAGCTGTGTGTGATGAGCTGGGAAAGGGAGTCTTCTAGAGTGACTCTGGTGATACAGGCCTGGCTTGCACCGGGCGACCATCTGGAGAGAACACACTCAGACCCTGTGACTGGCCAGGCCAGGATGAAGGGAGGAAGTTTTCTGTAGAGAGTTTATAGTAGCTACTTGTTGCTGATTAAAATGTCTAAGAAAGATAACTTAGGAGAGGAGAGGAGCAGCCTAACTAGAGATGGCTCAGCGGTTAAGAGCGCTCTTCCAGAGGAACTGGGTTCAATTCCCAGCAACCCATGGCGGCTCACAACCATCTATAACTCCTGTCACAGGGGATCTGTCTTGAGAGCCTGTCTCAGAGTTTCTCTTTGTAGCCCTGGCTGTCCTGAAGCTCACTCTGTGGCCCAGGCTGGCCTCGAACTCAGAGATCCACCTGCCTCTGCCTCCTAAGTGCTGGGATTAAAGGTGTGTGCCACCATGCCCTGCTACAGTTGCTCAGGGTTTCGGAATCTCATCCATCACGGCAGGAAGAGGCACCCAGGGTTGGGAATATAACCTTCAAAGACCTGTGCCTTTGACCTGACGCTGCCTTCTAAGCCCGGTCTCCTTGAGGCTCCACAGCCCCTCAGGACAGTGCAGCCAGCTACGAGATGAGTTTCACGAGGAGCGGGGGAGGGGGGAGTCTCAAACTGCAGCTTTACTCTCTTCACCAGCCCTATGTTTTAGATTTTTTAATGTATATAAGTGTCTTGCCCAAATGTATGCCTACGCGCACCATGTGTGTGCGTGCCCTCAGAGGCCAGAGGCGGTGTTGGAGCCTTTGGAAGTGGACTTAGGAATAGTTATGTCCACCATTTTGGTGTTGGAAACAGAGTTCTGGTACTCTACAGGAGCAGCAAGTGCTTTTAACCACTGGACTCTCTCCAGCCTTTTGTTTGTTTATTATTAGTAGTATTATTATTTGAGGCAGGGTTTTTCTCTGTTTACCAGGCTGGCCATGAACTGGCAGAGACCCAGATACCTCTGCCCCCGCCGGACTCCCCTTGTTTATTTTTAAGACAGAGGGGTTTTTGTTTTGTTTTGTTTTCAAGACAAGGTTTCTCTGTAGCTTTGGAGCCTGTCCTGGAACTTCCTCTGGAGACCAGGCTGGCCTCGAACTCACAGATTCGCCTGCCTCTGCTGTAAGACAGAGTTTTATGTTGTCCATGTTGGCCTCAAATTTGTCACAGCTGAGGGTAGCCTGGAATTTGTGATTCTCCTGCTTCTGCCTCCCAAGCATTAGGATTGCAGGCATGCCCAGCTCGATCCGGGATAATTTCTATTATTTATGTATTATATTGGGGATGATACTGGAGATTAAACCCAGGGATCAGGTGTGCTGGGCAAAGCGCTCTACCTTTGAGCTACAGCTCCACTGTGCTGCTGTAAACTGTATGAAAGGCCTCAAATCTAAGTTTTGAAACCTGGGTTCAAATCCTGGCTTTTCTGTGTCCTAGGCAAGTCTGTTAACGTGTTGAGCAAGTCTTAGCTGTAGGTAGGTAGGGATGCTGAGAGAAGTCTTTAAAGCATGTGGTTGGGGAGAAGGAGCTGTGTCTGCCTGAGTTCAAGACCAGATTAAACTCTGAAATAATACCCTGAATCAAGAGATAAACAACAGGGCAAAGTGAATGTTTCGCTTGGTAGAGTGCTTGCCCAGCATGCATAAAACCGGGTTCAGTTCCCAGCACCCCGTAGAACCAGATGTGATAGTTACCTATCTGTAATTCCAACTGTGAGAGGCAAGACGATCAGGATCATCCTCAGCTACATAGTGAGTCAAGGCCAGCCCGGCAACGTGATCCTGTCTCACAAAGAACCAAAATTTATTCACTGTTCTTGTTATTCCTATTTTTCATTAGAAAGCTAAGGCTTAGAGTTCAGTTGGCTCAGCCTCCTGGGCCCCAGCCCTGCCTTTTCCTGCTTCCTGTTCTAAAGAGGAAATCTTAAGGTGCTTGATTGCATTTTAAACACATGTGGTTAGGGTTATGGTAAGAGGCCCTTTGGTGGTTAGAACTGTGAGATTGGAATCCATGTGCCTCACCGGGCATGCCGAGCACCTGGGCTAGTGCTTAGTGCATTGGTAAGCATGCAGACACTAGTCTCTGGAGGTAAGCAGCCAAACAGGAAACTGTGGGACAGGCACGGTGTCCAGGAGCCGGTTGATAAGGGTTCCCAGGCTGAACACACTTGAACTCAGTGTCCCAGCAGAACAATAGGTAACTGGGCTCCAGTACCCCAGGAGGTGGATGCGAGAGAATCTCTGTGAGTTCAAGGGCAAACCGGCCTACCTAGTGAATTCCGGAGCCAGGGAAACAGCTGGGATTAAAGGGGTGCACCACCACATCAGCGGGCTACATACCCTTTTGATCTGGACCCTGAGATGTGAGTTCAGCAAATAGAACATGTAGGATTTGCAGACTTTGGGTAAACATGTTATTCCTTCCATTAAACAACAAGAAAAGAAAAAGGTTGATGCAACAGTTGTTTCTTTGTTACCTCCTGCTTGCAGTGTGGTCAGTAAACATCTTTTTCTAAACAAAAAGAGGAGGGAAAGAAACATTGTAGTCTATGCTGCCCTTGAGTGCACTTTTCCAGTTTCAGGCACAGCCACCACCACCCAGCACATTCTGTTAATGTTGTTATTGTTTTGATTACATTTTTACTTATTTATTAATATTTTGTTTTTAATTATGTATGAGGGGAGGGAAGTGTGGCTGCCAAGAGAGAGCAGAATTACAGGTGGGTATGAGCCACCTGGCATGGGTGCTGGGGACAGAACTCAGTTCCTCTGGAAGAGCAGGAAGCACTCTTAACCACAGAGCCCTCTCTCCAGCTCTTCTCTATAAGTAACACTGACTTTGGTGAGCAGTCAGGCCGGTGGATTATAGACGTCCATCCAGTTCCCTCTCTGGGGCGTTTATGTTGTTCCTTTAACTGTGCCGCCCTCGTGTAGTAAAGTTGAATCTAGACTCACTTAGATGCACACAACCTCCCTAAACCTTCCTAGGAGCTCTTCCCTGGTGGCCTTGCTCAGGGTGAAGGCCAGCAGATGTGTGTGCAGCTATGTGAGATTCGAGCACAGTCCCAGGCCTGAGTGAGTGTGGGTCTGTAAGCAGTTCCTAACGTTTGTCCCTACATTGGTGCGTCGTCCCCGACTCTCAGTTCCTGACCACATCCTCTCTGGCGTGGCTCCCCAATGGCAAGGGCCGTGGCCGATTTGGGCATCCCCATTTTCTCTCTTCCCACCCTCAGACAACACAGGCAGCTCCACATACCGACCGCCCCCTCGGACCCGAGAGGTGATGATCAACGGGCAGATGGTGAAACTGAAATACTGCTTCACCTGCAAGATGTTCCGGCCACCCAGGACCTCGCACTGCAGTGTCTGCGACAACTGTGTGGGTGAGTGGGGGCCTTGAGGACCCCAAAAGACTGAGTTTTGGATGCAGGAAGTCACATGTGGGGGCAAGACAGGCAGCATCTGAAATACTTAGGGGTGAGCCAGAAGGCTGCCTTTCCCAGACTGGCGGTGACATCTCTTGACCCAGGGTTGGTATATCCTGTCCCCCTAATCCCTAAGTAATTCTGCAGACAGAGACCTTGAGCTTGTCTCCCAGCTTCAGGCCACTCCTCAGTGAGTCCCTGATCCAAAAGCCTGGAGCAGTTAATACTGAAGGCGGGATGATCTAATTGAGAAAGAAGGCAGGGGAGTGAGAATCTGGAGGAGTGAAGTGGAGAGCCTGGACCACAACTGGAAGGTGGCTCTTGCCCACCTTCTTCTGCTTGGTTTGTGCCCTCACCCTGCTCCTCGGAAGCTCTACAGCTTGGGGAAGAGCCATGAAGGCCCCTTGGGAGGGTGTCATAAGGGAGAGTCTGTATGACACCCAAGTGAGCTGAGCCATGGTGACAGTGCACAGTTCCCAGAGCAGTGACTTCATCTTGCCAGCTCAGCACTCCCTGAAGAGGGGAGCTGGGACAGGAGGCAGTGAAGTGGGTGACTCAGGGGGTGTTATTCATCCCTGCCAGTCTGCCCTACCCACCTCCTTAGAGGGCACCAGCCTTGGCATAAGGCCTGCAACGGGCATATGACCCAGATTCCCACAGGGACTTTCCTCACCAGCCTGGGTGTGACTCCCACCCCCAGGGACTTAATACTGGTATGAGCTCAGTCCCTTGCCTTGGCCTCTGGTGCCAGCTCTCCATGAGTTACTTAGCGGCCCAGCCCTCTCTGGGCCTCAGGCCCGAGCTGTTGGCATGTAGGTAGTATTAGGCCATGGTCTGTGAGACTTTGAAGCAGGCACTCTGTGGGATCCTGGAGATCTCAAGGGTCTACGAGCAAAGCTGTATAAAAGAGGGCTAACAGAGCAGGTGACAGGGCCCCCTGCCTAGTTTGAGGTCACAGGAGACGTTTTAAGGGAGTGGCTTTGTAGTTGGCATCAGAAGGAGTTACTATGGAGCTAAAAGAATAGACAGGGAGTGTGTCAGGCAGTGGGTGGGAACTGATGATCAAGGGCTAGAAGTCGGGTGTGTCCACGGGAGGGCAGGAGTCAGCTGGTGTTGAGGGGTGGGGGATGGGAGAGCGCCAGCCTGGGGGAGGGCTACCACCATTGCTGGTTGGAGACCCACACTGACTCCTTCCCTTTCTAGAACGGTTTGACCATCACTGCCCCTGGGTGGGCAACTGTGTCGGGAGACGGAACTACCGCTTCTTTTATGCGTTCATCCTCTCCCTCTCCTTCCTGACAGCCTTCATCTTCGCCTGCGTGGTCACCCACCTGACTCTGCGTGAGTGGGGGGACGACAAGGGGTGGAGGAGGACTGGCCAGTGAGCTCAGCCCTAGCAGCGGGCTGTGGTCACCACCCCCTGAGCTGTGTCTCTGTCTCTTCCTTCCTAGGTTCTCAAGAAAGCAGCTTCCTCTCCACTCTGAAAGAGACACCAGCAAGATATCTTTTGCCAGTTGTCACCCTGGGTGGGAATTGAGGCCTCTTCGTGGGGTGGGACGGTGGGGCCGTGTTTTTTCTCTGGAATCCACTCTACCAGTTACTCTGTTAGTACCTGCACTAGAGCTGACTTTAAATAGGTTGTCACGGGGAGGGGCTGCGCACACAACCTCAGGACACTGTCCCTGCTTACAAAGGCCTGGCAAAGAGTGGGTTTCTTTTCTTTTTTTCTTTTTATGTGTATCATTTTTGCCTATATGCATGTCTGTGTGAGGGTGTCAGGAGTTAGTTGGGAGCTGCCATGTGGGTGCTGGGAATTGAACCTGGGTCCTCTGGAAGAGCAGTCAGTGCATCCAACTACTAAACCATCGCTCTAAGCCCAAGAGTGTATTTCTTAATTAAATCTTTGTTTATTTTATCTTGCCTGGAGGCAGTGGGAGCATGCCACACAGCACACAAAATAGAGATGGGGACAACTTGACACTCAAACTCAGGTCATCAGGTTTGGTGACAAGTGCCTTTACCCATTGAGTCATGTCACCAGCCTGCATGTTCCTTAGGAGGTCAAGCTCCATGGACTACTTCATGGCCAAGATCCTGTGGCTACAATTCCCTGTGCCAGCTGGGCGGTGGTGGCGCACGCCTTTAATCCCAGCACTCGGGAGGCAGAGACAGGATGATCTCTGTGTGAGATCGAGGCCAGCCTGGTCTGCAGATCAAGTTCCAGGATAGCCACCAAAGCTACAGAGAAACCCTGTTTCGAAAAACAAAAATAATATAAAATAAAACAAAACAAAAGAATTCCCCATGCCATCCCTAGCCCAGATCCTGACTTGCTCCTCAGGACTCCCGCCTGTTTCTGGGGTGCAGGAGGTGATCTGCCGAGAATGATGACTGGACACCTGCCACTGTGGGGATATAGCTCCAGGGAAGGGTGGGTGAGAACAGGCTCCCAGGGTCTCCACCCTCCCCCGCATGTGTCCTTGACAGTTCCACTGTGCTGGAGTTGGTCATCTGCTTCTTCTCAATCTGGTCCATCCTGGGCCTCTCAGGGTTCCACACTTACCTCGTCGCCTCCAACCTGACAACTAACGAAGATGTGAGTAAAGCTGGGGGGCTGGGGAGCCTGGCTGTGTCTCTTGATGCATTGCATCCTGCTTGTGACAGAACTGGGATCCATACTCCCGTGCATGGCATGGTTGAGAGATGTGGCCTTTGGTCATAATTCTGGGAAGGGCCAGTCCAGGGTTGATGCCCAGAAGTCACGACCCCGACTTCGCATCTACCACACTGCACCTGTAGGCATCAGAGTTCTGACTGGGGTTCCAGAAGTCTGTGCACTGAGAGGCATTGTTAGAACAGAATGGCGGCGTGGCCCCGTTGCCCTCCCAGCTATTCACTTGTAAGCCACTGTCAGCCAGCATTATTTGAGCACCCACTGTCCCCAGTCCAGACATGACCTCCCCTCACTGTCCTCCAGCCCTGAAAAAGAAAACGGTACTGTTATGTTTCCAGGGTTGCTGTACAACATTGATCAGAGGCCCCACCATCCAAAAGAAAACGGATCCACTTCAGACGAGGCATAGGCCTGTAATCCTGGCACTTTGTAGACCCGGGCAAGAGGGCCTGTGGTTTGGCTTCAGGCTAGTTTGGACTGTGTGGGGAGACACTGACTTGGCAAAATAAAAGGGGGGTTGGGAAGAGAAAGAAAAGGAGGCTAGTTAGTCTGCTGGCACAGGCCCGTAATCCCAGCTGCTCTAGAGACTAGGACAGGGATTGAAAATTCAAGGTGAGAATGGACAGTCTGTCTGAGACAAAAAGTAAAAAGAGAACAGGGATGTAGTTCAGTGGAAGAACACTTACGTAGCATGGGCAAGGCCCTGCCTTCAATCTCAGTATCCAGAGATGGAGGAGGGACTGGAGGCTTGGTGGTTAAGAGCACTGGCTACTCTTCTGAGGACCCAGGTGTGTAACCCTGTTGTACTAGTCCTAGGTAATCTGGTGCCCTCTGCTGGCCTCCTCCAACACTGCACACATGTGATACACATGCATAAAGGCAAGACACCCATACACATAGAATACATAATAAACGGAAGAATGAGAAGGAAGCCACCTCCAGGAGCAGTGGCACACGCGTGTTATCCCAGCACTTGAAAGGTGGAGACAGGAAGATGAGGAATTCAAGGTCATCCATGGCTACATAGAAATTTGAAGACTGGGGCTGGAGAGATAGTTCAGTGGTTAAGAACACTGACTACTCTTCCAGAGGTCCAGGTTCAATTCCCAGCACCCACATGGCAGCTCACAACTGTCTGTGACTCCAGGTCTAGTGGACTCAACACGCTCACACAGATATACACGCAGGCAAAATACCAAAATGCACATAAAGTAAATAAGTTGCTTATTAAAGAAAAAGAAAGGAGGGGGCTGGAGAGATGGCTCAGTGGTTAGGGGCACTGACTGCTCTTTCAGAGGTCTTGAGTTCAATTCCCAGCAACCACATGGTGGCTCACAACCATCTGTAATGAGATTTGGCACCCTCCTCTGGTGTGTGGGCATATATGGAGGCAGAATGTTATATACATAATAAATAAATAAATCTTTAAAAAAAAAAAAGGAAGTTAGAGGATACCTCAGGACACATATGACCGGCCTGGTCTACAAACTGAGTTCCAGGACACAGAGAAACCCATCTCAAAAAACCAAACCAAAAAGAAGAAAGAAAAAAAAAATCCCACAACCTCTCACAGTCTCATTTGAGAAAGCAAAACTGTACACATTGATAAGGGCAGAAAGGGCATTAGCCCCAGCCCACCCTATCACCAGTGGGTTTCCTGAGTGCCGGTTCTACAGGATCTTCCTGGAACTTAAACAGAAAGGGGTGCTTGGCCCAGCAAGTGTGGAAACTTCTGGGTGACAATTAAATGGGTCTTTCCTGCTGAGCCCCTCAATAGCGTCAACCCAGGGCTTCCCGAGGCAGAAAGGATGTCCAGGGTCATGTAGTTGAGTGGCAGGGTCAAAATGGTTCCGCCTGCTTCGTGCCCTCAACCCTGCCCTCTCTGTTAGTTGGTGTCCTAGTTAGCGTCACTGTTGCTGAGATGAAACACCAAGACCAAAAGCAAGTTGGGGAAGAAAGGGTTTATTTGGCTTACATTTCCACATCACCATCATCAAAGGGAGTCAAAACAGGAACTCAGACCGGGAAGGAACCTGGGGGCAGGAGTTGATTCAGACACCAAGGAGTGATGCTGCTTACTGGCCTGCTCAGCCTGCCGCCTGCTTTCTTTTTATTTATTTTTTTTCGTCTTTATTTTTTGAGACAGGGTTTCTCTGTGTAGCTTTTGGAGCTTGTCCTGGAACTCGCTCTGTAGACCAGGCTAGCCTCGAATTCACAAAGATCTGCCTGCCTCTGTCTCCCAAGTGCTGGGATTAAAGGCGTGCGCCACCACCACCCAACCAGCCTGATTTCTTACAGAACCCAGGACCACTAGTCCAGGGTTGACTCCATTCACAGTGAACTGCCCCTCCCCCATCAATCACTAATTAATAAAATGTTCTACAGGTTTGCCTATAGGCAGATCTTAGGGAGGCATTTTCTTAATTGAGGTTCCCTCTTTCAGATAAGGATAGCTTGTATCGAGTTGATGTCAAGCTGTCTAGCACAGGTGGGAAGCCAGGGTAGAGATGTCTACCCAGACAGCCTCCTTTGGAGACTTCCTTTTGCTTGTCCTCTGTGCTAGTTGGAGCCTTCTGGTCTGCGCTGGCTGCCTCCCAGAAGTCCCCAGAACTGGTTTCTAAGTGGGACTCTTGCTGGCCTCTGGGTTCCATTTCTAGAAAGTGCAGAAGGAGCCCAGTGGTTGATGCTTTGCATGTATAATCCTCAGCACTGCTAGAGGAAGTGGGGACAGACGGAGGCCGCTTACCCAGCTTCTTCTCTTTCCAGATCAAAGGATCTTGGTCCAGCAAGAGGGGCGGTGAGGCCTCTGTCAACCCTTACAGCCATAAAAGTATTGTCACCAACTGCTGTGCTGTGCTCTGTGGTCCCCTACCTCCCAGGTAAGCCAGGACATGTAAGAGAGGTCACAGGGAGGTGGCCCTGAGGCTGGACCCCTCCTGGGAGTTGTGGAGGGTCTGGATCTTAGCAGGCCTTTCTCCCTGCACAGACATGGATTCATTTGCTGTCCTCTATTCTGCTGGATGTCTGAGAAATTCTGAGGACGGCTGTTAGTTTTAATCACATTTGCTCCTGTGTAGAATAAAAATAAGTACCACCTGGCATGGTTGTACCTGCCTGTAATCCTCACACTTGAAGACTAAGGTTAGGAGGATTGCTTCATGTTCAAGACCAGGCTGGGATCCACAGTGACACTGTTTCAAAGGAGGAACGTACAAAATAGTAAAGATCATGGGGTATTCTGTGTAACTCTACTTCCCAGAGATACCACAGTGACTGTCATGACCACAGTAGGTGACCTGCCTTTCTTGTACAGGGTGAGGTCACCACCACTTTCCTCAGGAACCTTGGTGCTTCAACCCTGCTGCCAGCAGGGGGCACCAGAGCTCCAGAACCCGAGTTAATGGCCATGGGCACTGCGGGGGGTAGCTGTTCTTTCTTACTTTTCTCTCACTTGCAGCCTGGCTTCTTGGCATCCAGACAGCTGAGTCCGCTTGAATTAATAACAATGAATAAACTTGGGAGATAGAGGCAGGTCAGAAGTCCTAGATCATCCTCAGCTACATCCTCAAGTAGCAAGGCTACTTGGGATCCTGTCTCAAGAAACAAAAACATTCTGGCATGGTGGCAGAATGCGCCCCCCCCACCTTTTCTTTTTAAGACAGAGTTTCTCTGTATAGTCCTGGCTGTCTGGAACTTGCCCTGTAGACCTCAAACTCTCCAAGATCCGCCTGCCTCTGCCTTCCTAATGCTGGGGTTATTGGTGTGCACCGCCACCCAGGAGCACTTGCCTTTTTAATCTTAACAGAAACAAGCAGATCTCTGAGCAAGAGCAGCCTGGTCCTCATGATGAGTTCTAGGACAGTCTACAATCTATAGAGCTAGAGCTGTATAGTGAGACAATGCCTAAAAATAGTAATAATAACAAAACCAAACTAATGGATGAATTATCTGGAAAAGCCAGGTGCACAGAAGGTCTTACTTTAAGTGTGTTTACTTGTGTGTGTGTATGCACCTACAGTGGTGTGCATATGGAAGTCAAGAGTCCTTGGGCTTGAACGCAAGTCATCATCAGGTTTGGTGGCAAACACTTTTGCCCATTGAACAACTGAACGGAAAGCAGCTTCCATTTGCCCAGCTTTTCTAGAGCTGGGTCTTTTCTGGGAAGACATTGTCTGTGTTGTCACGTGCCTAGAGCCTTGTCAGAGGCTCATGCCCTGTCCTTATGTTTTGGAAGCCTGATCGACCGGCGGGGATTCGTGCAGTCTGACGCTGTATTGCCCTCACCCATCAGAAGTGACGAGCCAGCCTGTGGGGCCAAGCCAGACGCCAGCATGGTAGGAGGCTACCCCTGAATGTGACTCAGTGCTTGCCACCTGCTGCCTGCCCTCTACGCCTGCCGGGACCCTCCCCATACCATCCGAGGGAAGCAGAGCTGCCAAAGACTCAAGTCTTTTCGTATTTATTTCCCATCCTGCACAGCGTTCTCTGAACTGCCACAGAACTGTGCCCTCTTGCTCCTCAAACCCAGGTTCCCACAGTTTGGGCCCTAGGTCCCTGAATTGATCGGTGGCAGGAGAGGAGAGCCACGGCCTCTGGAGGCCACCAAGGAAACCATGCCAAATCACTGCCTGTGCCCAGGGAGACCCAGTGTGAGTGAGGGTGTGAACTGAGTGGGCAGCCTCCCAGCCGGAGGCATTCTTGGACCCTGGGGAGCCGGGGCTTCTGGAAGCAGGACTGCTGAGCAGCTGGCCCTGGAGCACAGTGGCAGGCCAGCGCCTGCCCTTGGACTCCTGGTCTGGGGCTCCCGCATTCCCTTTGAGATGTGCAAGGCTATTTTGGTGGTCTTGGGGGGGGGTATATGGAATTGGCCAGTAGGATAGAGCTGGGGTACCAGTAGAGAGCATGGGCAGAGAGTGGGAGACAGCCTGTGTCATAGGAAGCCAAACCAGCCATCCAGGCCCCAGAACCTCAGCTCCTATAGAGTCCTGGGCAGCACAGTAGGAATGGGAATGGGGACCCTGCCTTCCGCAGCCCATGGAGACTCTCAAGGATCCTTTCCTGTGTCACCACCCCTCCCCCCAGTCTCTTCCAAGTCAGAGCTAGAGGTGGGTGGGTTAGTGATGCTGGCAATACTTGAAACGGGTTTATTAATGCTTGGTATTTTGCACAATTTTATAGACCTCTTTTTTACATGGCCTTTTTTTTTTTTTTTTTTTTGGATTTTTGAGACAGGGTTTCTCTGTAGCTTTTGGTTCCTGTCCTGGAACTAGCTCTTGTAGACCAGGCTGGCCTCGAACTCACAGAGATCCTGCCTCTGCCTCCCGAGTTACATGGCCTTTTTTTAAAAATAGAAGTTAATGTGTTACTATCTGTGTAGTGCCAAATCAAGGGTTTTCAGAAGGCTAGGTGGTTTAATAAATGTTTTACAGCAGATCTAGCTATGAATGTGTGTGTGTGAGAGTGTGTGTATGTGTGTGTGTGTGTGTGTGCGCGCGCGCACGCGCGCACCTGTGTACAAATACAGCTGACTTCCATATCCCTGGGCTATTCCGTCTCCCTGTTACCTACCCTGTGTTCAGAAGCAGCCTGACTTGTAGGGGCTGGGAAGATGGTGCATTAATCACAAGAGACCCCTGGGCTCCTGCCCTTCCCTTCTGCCATAGCCTTCAGACAACCTGTGGCTAGGGACTCGGCCACCCAGCCCCCAGGTCAGGCTCCCAGCTGTAACCTGCCCCAACAGGCTGAGGCTAGGTGTGGTGGGTGGGGTGACTGGTCTGGGGAGCGGGGAGCAGCTGCCATTCTGCAAGCCACACCCCCCTTGGCTCTCTGCTCTGTATATGCACCCCCCCCCCATGCTAGAGAGTCGGAGACAACACATTTCTGCTAATTTGGGATGAAGAAAGAAGCAGAATAGGCCAGGAGGCTTATTGGTTGGCCAGGACCCTCATAACACATCGTCCTGCTGCTGGGATCTGTAGTTTCTAATCAAAATAGAGACTTGTTCTTTTAGGACCCCCACTTTGGCCCTTCAAGTGGGCTGAAGCCCTTGGATCATAGCATAGGAAGTCACTCCAACTTCTCTGCCTTGCTCCTAAGGCTAGTGGGTCCCACACAGAGCCGGGGAGTGTGCTAGCTGGGAGAAAAGCTTCAGAGCCCTAGGCCATCCTGCAGTGGCTCTGGGAGGTAGATGAGGGCTGGAGGAGGCTCCCTAACCTGCCTGTTATTTAAGCCAGTATTCATTTGTTCCTGCTTGTAATAAACTTCGTTTTTAGGAGCTGATTTGCTTTGGTTTGGTTTTTGTTGGCTTTTATTTTGCCGAGTTCCTGGTTTGTAGCATAGCTCTGGGTTCTTCCCTGGGAAATGGGAGGCCGGTAGCCGGTGATAGCGGGAACTCTGCAGCAGAGGGACTATGGCTAACCCGCCTTCACCATGTCTGCCTTCTTGTGGCTCAGGAATTGGTACTTCCTGAGCTCTTTCCTGCTAACTTTGCACCCCGATCCCCAGCGATTGCTCAGCTAAAGACATGTTTGGGGCAGTAGGTCCAAGTTGGAACTTCTTATCCCTGCCCCAACCCAAACCTCCTAGGTAGCCAGAACGGCCAGGCAGATGATAACATAGGCCGACCTCTCTGGTATCTCCTCCAGGAGGACACCTGTCAGGACTTTGCCATCTCCTGCACAGCCTGAGGGGAGCTAACAGGCCTCTCTGCAGAGGGTTAGCTGGTAAGACCTTGTCTCACCTGTCAGCCAGCCCTGCCCACTCTCCACACACCATCTCATCAATGCATGCCTACCGACTTCACCAAGTCCATCCATCTCTGTCTGGTGTGCGGTGTGGTGTGTGTGCTGGTGGTGGCAGGTCCCCAGGAATCCCCCCCAACAGAAGGCTCTTAGTCCTGCCCACTCCCTCCTTGGATTGAGGCTCCCTGAGAGCACCTGTCCTTTCAGAAGAGGAAGGGTGAGACTGGGAAGGTGGCACACCTGCCCTGAGAGGCCTGGCCAGTGCTGTTGGTGGACTGATGTGCAGGGCCCTCAGGTCACTAGCACCTCCGCATCCTGCTGTGTGCCCCCGCCATGCCCCCTCGCCTGCCGCTGTTCCTCTCCTGCTCTGTTGCCTGCTGCCTGAGCTTTGGCCCTTTTCTGGGGGAGAGACAGGTACTGTGGTACCTTTGACCCCACTCAGGGCCCCTGCAGGCTACCTCTTCCATCTGTCTGTCCGCTAACCCTTTCTCTTCTCCTCCTTTGCCATCCTGCGGATCATCCAGTATGCGCGGGGGCTGAAGGAGCTCCTGAGGACCGCCACTCTCTGCCTCTCCAGGAGTGGCCTGGGGGGAGCCAGGCACCCTGCGCCTCCACCTGCCTAACCTGTGGCCCGTCTGCCACCATCTGTGCCTACAGGGTCTGTCCCCCAGCCTGTCCTACTTGTGTGCTCTCTAGAGCTCCCCACAGCGGGCAGGTGCTGACCTCCTGGCCCCTGCCCCCACTCCTTGCTGACCAGAGTATAGAAAAGCCATACTGCAGCCTCAGCACAATACACACTACTGTAACCCTGCCGATCTTCCCCCTCTCCTCCTCCCCTCATGCCCCTTCCCCAGATGTGTGAGGTGTCAAGACTCTTCAGGAATCTTGCCTTACAGCCTCCCCCCAGTCAGCAGAGCCATAGGCAAGCCAAGCAGGTTCCTTCAGGAGCTATCTGGGTGTTGACGCTGCTGAACAGGTTTGGGGACTGTTCTGAGCACAGCGGCTCAGCACTATTCCCACGCCCCCATCCCCCCAGGAGGATGCGAGGTGTGAGCCTGTGTATCCCTGGCCCCAGGCACCAAGGGCTGGCTACACAGCTCCACTTCTTCCAGGGACCCAAAGGGAACTGGGCCAGACTTGGGAAGACTAGCTGCGCCCAGCACGGGGCCGCTCACCTGCTGTCCACTACCTTTTCTAACAGAAATAAAGAGCCCTCTCTTCTTGCTGGAGCCTTGAGTGTGTCTCACCCCTTTCCTTTGGGGCCATGGGTGCGGCCGGCTGCGATGTGTGAAAAGGACTGTCTCCCTCACAGCCCTGGCCAGATAGCGCTGCTCTGGAGACAGGCGCGGAGGGACATGGGGAAAGGCACTTCGTGGCTCTCTCTCTCCAGAAGTCTTTTCCTCCCCAGAGACCTTCTAGGCTTAGCTGAACTTTGAAAAACTTTGCCTAGTCCAAAATAGTGGGTGGGAGGTGTCAAACTCCAGTCTGAGGCTCACATTCCCCAATTGAGCCCAACCCAAGGTAGGTCCATAGAGCGTCCTTTCTCTCATTCCCTAGATGCTTTCCCACATGGACACTGTACCCTGGGGTGGTACACGTCTGTAATCCCAGCGGGAGGATCAGTTTAGAGCATCCTCAACTACACAGCACAAGACTAGCCTGGGCCGCACACCCACAGAAGTGAACTGACAACCAATTGCTCAGGTCTTCCAATTCTACTGTGTTTACTGTGGACCATGTGCGCACACACAAACACAAGATAAGTAAAGATAAATTAGAAGAAAAAACCGGGCTGGAGGGATGGCTCAGTGTTTAGAAACACTGACTGCTCTTCAAGAGGACCCAGGTTCAATTCCTAACACCCATATGGCAGCTCACAACTGTCTGTACCTCCAGTTCCAGGAGATCTGACACCCTCACACAACTATAACATGCAGGCAAAACACCAATGCACATAAAGTACGTTGTATATAAAAAAAAAAAAAAGCCTAGGCGGGCAGGATTGCTGTTGCTGTTTATCAGGGCTTGCCTATGTATTTGTTTTTTCCCCGGTAACCAAAGAGAAAGGTGATCTCAGCTCTCTTACAAATGAGAAGAGACTCAGGGAAAGTCACTGAGCCAACAACTGTGTGACCCCAGCAGGAGAGGGTGGGGTTTTGGAGAAGCCCTAAACTTGGAGATGCCATACCCAGGAGGGGGCTGCCCAGCCTCCTGTTACCAGTGGGGAGGCCTAAGCCCAGGGGCAGGAAGGGACCTGTCCAAGGCCTTTTCTGACCTAGCTGGAATGCAGTTCTACATGCTGACCTCATTCGGTTCTGTCTCTATAAATTCCATACTGTCTCCTACCCTAGACTGGCTTAGAGGGGGGCTCGCTCCAACAGCAGTAGTGTAGAAGGAGAGGAGGCAAACAGGAACCACCTGAGCATCCTCCACTAACCCTTCCCAAAGACAATACGCAGCTCTCGGTTACAGAGCTGAACTCTTAACGACCAATCACAAAGCCCTCTCTCTGGTCAACTGTTGAATTTGAACATTCCAATGCCAAAAAATTACCTCGGAAATTACTAGAAAAGGTTTTGCCAGTTGTGGGAGATTCTTTCTAGACTCTGATAAGAATCCCTCTTCCTGCAAAGGATGGCAGTGACCACCAGGATGAGGCGAGCACCGGGACTTTAGCCTGATCTGTCCTGCTGACTCAGGCAGCCGCTGCAGAGGTCCACGCTCCGCTGGGACCTGCTGCCTCCTGCCTGCCTGGGCTCCTGGACTTGGGAAGTAGAAGCCTGGAGGCAAAGGGAGGCGACTGACACAGGAACTGAGTCAGATCTCCAGGCCAGAGCCAGCAGGAGTGTCAAGCAGCCCGACTTCAGTGAGGAGCAGTGAGAGGCTTGCTTGGGCCCGACTGTAGCCACCCACCAGGTCCCCGGCTTAAGAGGCGTGAGAGAGCACTCCCTTCGTGGGCTTTGAATTTTGCCAGGCCCCAAGGTCCAAGCTCCTAGTGTCCTGGGATCTCCAAGTTGCCCCCAGGACTTGGGGAAGCCCAGGCTAGATGACTAGTGCCAAGGAAAGCCCTTGAGGGCTGAGCGGAATGTTCCAGATGGAAAGGGAGGAGTTGGTGTAGATTGTACCATTTGTCAGTCTGGAAAGAAGTCTGGGCAGAGGACCCCTTCTCTGGTGTGGACACCTGGCAGGGCCACATGGTATGGGCAGTTCATGAGCTTTCCTCATCCATAGAACCCAGCTACAAAAAAAAAAAAAAAAAAAACCAGGGATGGGGGCTGGTGATGTGGTTTAGCTGGTAGAGTTCTGGGGACTCGTGGGGACAACCCCATCACTACCGCATACACACCAAGATGGCAGCACTCCGTATGTGGACCAGACCAGCCTTGAACTTGCTGTTTATCAGGGCTTGCCTATGTATTTGACTGTTTTTTCCCCCGGTAACCAAAGAGAAAGGTGATCTCAGCTCTCTTACAAATGAAAACAGACTTAGGGAAAGAGAGCCTGCCCCTCTGCTTCTGCCTTGTGAGTGTTGGGATTACGGAGGTATATTGCCAGTCTATACAGGGCTGGGGATCCAACTCCATACATGCTAGGCGGAAACTCTACCAACCGAGTTGTATTTCCCACCTCTTTTTTTTTTTCTGGGGGCTGGGGTTGAGGGGCGCAGCCTGTCTCTTTGGAGCCAAGCTGGCCACCAACTGGAACTCCTCTGTCAGTCTGAATCCACCTGAGTGCTGAGACGCTGGGCGTGCCCTGCTGGGTCCTTCCCCAACTTGATATTTCAGAGTAGTTTCCTTCCTTCCTTTCCTGTGGCTGCGCTCTGAGCCCTCAGATCTCAGGAGGGGAACCCCACAGAATTAGCCGGGATCTGCAGAGCCCCTACTCTTGTGACATAAGCACATCAGCCCGTGTCTTCAAAGTTTTGGCCTACACCTCCCTCCCAGAGGCAAGGTGCATGGTCAGGCACGAGGAGGGGGGAGCAGGAGGAGTAGGGGGCGGCGGAGAAGAGGAAAAGACAGGAAAGACAATGTTATAGTTAGTAGTCCTGGTTCAAGGATTCGGTTGGCTGGGTCCCAGGAAGAAGGTTCCTTAGAAGGGACTCTGGAGTCACATCTCAACTGTGGGGGTAGTAGTGGGGGCAGATAAGCAGGAACCCTACCCTCAGTGCCCATACTCTTAGAAGCTAGAAGACAGGACCCAACCAAACAGGGACAGAAGGTTGGGGACAAAAGTGGTCTCCATCTCTGAGGACGCTTCTCTCTGGCTGGAGACCAGGGCCTCGATCAAGAAGGGACTAGAACCTCTGGGAGCCGAGGGGGGCGGATCTCCCTGAGCAGGAATGACTGCTCCATAAAACAAAATGGTACGCGTCACTCCTGGCTCCTTCTCCTCAGCCCTGTCTTCCTGCCCAGCTGCTAGCGTCCCCCCTGGGGGACCAAACTGGACTGAGCACCCCGTGACCTGCTTCCCAGCCTCTGACAAGGCAATCTGAGTCAGAGTGGGGCAGTCAAGGAGCTGCGCCCCATGCCCCCGC